ACCATTTAATCTCAATTGATTGTTTGTTAGTACTGAAAGTGTATGTTTTATGTAAGTTCATGTATGTATACACCTTTCATATCGACGATGATTTGTTAAAATAGGTAGACGTAACGATTACAAATATTGAATTTTTCATATATTTCAGCGTTCACTCATCATCCATCTGTGGATGAGTGCGTATGTGTCAACAGAAAATATACAGGGTGTCCTAGTTGTTTCGGATCAAATTTTCTCAGCATGTTCTATGGGCATAAGTAAGAGAAAAATGTTATATAAACATAGGTCGTTTGGAGCTTTATTAAAAAGTTATGGCAATAATACGAAATATGAAAGAAACGGTAACGGGTATGCCTTTATTACGATACAAAATAGGAATATATCAGCGATATGTACATCTAGTCTGTTTATGCGAGCTGTGTTTACGATCTGACTTCGTTCAAGGTATTGAATGTAACTTCTACCAGTGTCATTCTTGCAGTAATCGCAAGTTCGTTACCATTCTCTTCATATTTCGTATTTTTGTTATAACTTTTTAACAAAACTTCAAACGACCCATGTTTATATAACATTTTTTTCTTACTTATACCCATAGAACATACTGACCAAGTTTGATCGGAAAAAACTGGGACACCCTCTATATAGGAAATAATCGCTAACGATTAACTTCTATGAAAGATAAATATAATAAAATTTGTAATTGTACACCTTCTAAAATGTGCAATCATTTCAACTTAACGTATAATTATGTAAAGGTATATAAAAACTTCTACATACCAATGCAGTCGAAGTGTATGAAGAAAAGCTGACAGCCCTTCCATCATCACGAGAATGGAAACGGTAAAGAAGGCCCACGCGGCGAAAGTAAGAAATAAAAGAATGCTGTATACCCAATTATTCTCATCAGCTCCCAAACCCATACGTAATATCATGCTCCACAGTACTTCGGACAATTGTGCATGGGCCAACGACAAAGCCCATAAACGTAAGTAAGAGGCAGTGTGAGATATTGTTGAAAGAACGTATTCTATGGTATGAATAGACTGGTGGATCATAATTTCACCGAACGATTCACCTTCGTGACCATCATTAGCTTCGCTGGTACTAGGAACACTTTGCAAACCTTCAGTTTGTAATTCGATGTCTTGTGATGTTGTTCCATTACTCTAATACGAATAAATAGAACGATACCAGAAATTAAAAAAAACAAAAGTCGCCATTTCAAAGGTCACTTATTCTTTTAATATTCACCGACATTAAAACTAAAAACATTGATATTCGGCGTATTGTTTACTTCTCAATTATCCAATTATTAAATTTTAATATTAATTGTTTTCTCTTTTGCGCTATTACTGAAATACATTCTATATTTCATTGAAAATGTTTACTTGGAAACGTTAAGTAATGTAAATCAATAAATACGATCCTTATTAGAAATGTAATTTTTTCATTTCACAACACGTGGAAATATCTAGAAAACTATAATTTTTAAATGTTTAGGAAATATTCAAAAATTTATAATTATAATTACAATTGCACGCATTACGAAGAAGTAAACAGCTTCCGTTCTGTTCGATTTACGCTGATTATGATAAACGTATGAAATTATATTTACTTACAACAACTTTTCCCGCTTTTGACTTTTTTGAGACTAAAAAATAGACTGGTTTCCCGAAAAGCATTACTGGCACGCATAACACCGCGAGTCCGAAGAAAACCATTTGCAATATTTTCTGACCCGGAAACATATACGATGAAGAACAACCCTCTGGCTTATCAGCTTTACCGTTCAGAATCATATTGATGAACGTGATCAAAATGGATGGTGCACACGTAGGAGTATAATCCTTATCTGCAAAGCATAAAAAAAAATATACATTCATGTTGTAATTAAATGAGAAACTTCATAGTTAATCGAAGATAAGGTACACACCAGTCGAAGTTGCGTCGTATAAAACCCATTTAACGAACATTAACACTACCAGGTAGAAAAATAATAAAATGAGGAAAAGTAGTTGCGGCAAAAATTCGAGAAATATGCTCGGGTATCTCTTGAATTTTCTACAAAAGAAATATGCAAGTATAATTAAGAACTTATTTTTCATGTAAACGATAAAATTTGTCAAATTGAAAAGAAATTTTGAGTATAAAGAAATTGTTGAAAAAATTAATATAAACCTTCTGGGAAAATTAGAAAATTCTTTGAAACACTATAGTACAATAAGATGTTAAAAATGAATTTCAATCCTATTTTTATATTTTCATTTATTGATATAAATGAACGTATTGCCCTTTAGAATATTGTGTTAAAAAAATTAATAAATAGAAAGGTTTTATTTTTATTTAAGAAGTAATGAAACTAGAATTTAATTTATTCGTATACTGTGCAGAGACAAAACGTTGGCTAGCGGAAGGGATGCGGGTCTGATTGGTCATAGTGCAATAGGCCCACCTTCTCTTACATAATCATAAAAACAGGGTACATGTATTTGACCGAAACGGTCACATCTGCAAATCGGATCATATAGCATCACGTGACGAAGAGAGCGAACGGAACATATTGAGACCAAGTGGGATAGAGCGATAGCAAGCGATCCGGAGAACTTCAAAACTGATGTTAATCTGTACCGCCAAGAATCTAAAGGTGAAAAGTTTGGGAGGGCCGCAGACAGTAGTGGGTGGAGCGAGCGAGGTATAGTCGGTGGAAGAAATATAGCGAGTTGTAAATTACAGCACTAAGTAGCGGCACCGATTGATGCAGTAACACCCAGGGTCGAATGCGACATTTTTCGTTTTTCGATTAGGACTAAATCAAAGCTAAGACATACTTCGTGTGGCCCTGACTGAGGTTTCAGTCAGGATTCAATGAGTGCATATAAACACAGCCGCCCCTAGAGATTGCCAGGCCCTGACAAAAAGACGATGTATACATACAGTATTAAAAATATCTAATTAGGAACAAATAACTACACCTCTGCAGCTCACGACTTTCTAGTTAGGCTTGGTGGAAATTTGTCCCTATTGTAATATAATTTCTAACCTAAATTTACCACAAAAATAACGAAACAACGTGAGTACGTTAAAAAATTAGATGCCTCGGCTATTACAATTACATTTATTTATTTTTTATCAAATGCGGAGGTAACTAACAATAAGTGCGGGGCCCTTTAAGTGCGGGGCCCGGGACTAGTGCCCCGTTTGCCCGGTGCTAAGGGCGGTACTGCGTGTAAACTTTGACGCTTGACCGATTTTACGACCTCGCTATATTTTTATTCCATCAAATATACCCTTCTTGCCACTGTGCCGTCCCGCTAGCCATCTTTTCATCGTTACACGGTAGATCTGCAACAGGAATATGGTATTAAGAACTTACGTTATATTGACCAAATTCATACAGACGCCGAAGATCATGTGAACAACACCGAAGATGATCGAAAGCTTCATTTTATACGAATTTAGAAATATAATCTTGTTGTCGGCTAGCATCCAAACCGGATCCACACCCAAGATATAAGGCACTTGTATGTAACCTTCGCGAGACGGATTCAATTGAAGGAAACTGTTGCTTATGATCGTGCTTTCGTTGTACGATATGTGCCAACTAGACCCGAATATATTTAATGGCTTTGAGAACACGTCATTGTAGATGAAGCCAGTGTAAATGGAAAACAAACCCATGAGAAGAATAATATAACGTCCGGCGAAAAATATATTCCAAATTTCGGACGTCGACTTTTGGGCCAGAAACTTCTTCTCCCACGCGATCATGTACACAGCGAACAGGGTCATAAGTAAACCTAAATCAATAATCATTTGTTTAAATGATCGACATATTACGACATATTTATATACATTTGTATATATATATACATTCAGATTTTCAGAAAGTACAATTGTTTTATCTGGGCCACTTTAGAAATTACAAAAGGTATCGTTTCCTTTCGGAAGAATTTTTAAACGTTTCTTTCGATACGACAGCCACTTTTATAAAACATTTAACAATGATGATTGTTTCACCGGTTACTTTGATCAGTAACATCAACGAACTAATAATATAATTAGTGGGTCATCCCGAAAATTCCCGTGATTTTAAGCCGTTCACTATGAAAAAAAAAATATAACTCTACTGAAATTAAATATTTTCATTTAAAATAATGTACATAATGTTCGATACGCTTTTAATTCCGCGTATATAACAATTGAAATCTCTAAGAGAAAGAATGCCCGCCGATGCCCACGAACAGACGGAGAGCGAAGTCGCGGGCTAAGGATGTCACATACATTAAAGCGGAGTGGAGTAAAGACGTTTGTGGTACGAGTAGAGTTGTCATTTATAAAGTCACTAATCTAGAATAGAGAGCATTAAAACCCCGGACTTTTCTGCCTGAAACCCGAACACTTCTATTTCTTAGATTAATTACGATATTCCGAGATAAAAACTTCTTTCATGGTTTGCATTTAAACTACTTCTGATGCGTCTGATGCGAACGCAACACTTGAAAGTCACTCCTAGAAAAACAGATGCATAACTATCCAGAATGTTAGTAGAGGTACGTCTGACGCATGCTAGATCACCGCACGCAACGCACAGATAACATGATAACACGAATGATCGGTGGGGGGCTAACAGTTTGGACAGGTAATGAACATCGGAAAATCCGGATTACTACAGAAAATCCTCCAGGACGTCCCTGAACGTCTTAAAAACTAGGACAAATCTGGGTAAACCCGGACGGATAGTATCCCTAGGTACGAGTATAGGTCCTTCTTAAGACGGGCGATGGTTACTACATACATACATGTAGTCCAGGCCAGGATATAGCGAGGTCGTAAATGAAACTTTTAAGAATCGGCACCAATTGGTGTTGCCGCACCCAGGGCCGTACCAAAAGCCTGGTAAACATCTTCCATTGAGAATGAATACCATTGTGTACGATATGTTGACACTGAATGAAAGATTTCTTCGTATGGTCCTGACCATAGTTCCAAGTCCTTAGCGTCTCGGAAACTAAAACATGTTTACTTTAACGCCTGATCGATTTTACGACCTCGCTATACCGTGGCCCGGACTATACATACTATGCAGAGCTGGATCTTCGATGACCGTCACGCGATGGATTAGTAGATGTGACCGTTTCGGCCAGTAATAAAAATACGTGTGATCCGACTTTATGAGTGTGTCCGCTACAAGCAAAGAGACCTGCATTCTTTTCACGCGCAATCTTTCCAGCTCTACATAGTACACGCACCGATGCCCAAGAAGACGTGGGGTCTTGTCCGCTGATTTGTTTACGCCGGGGGAAGCTTAATACGCTGCCCGTACGGGCAATGACTGAACGGCGCTGCACTGCAGTTTCCTAAAATCGTCCACCAAAAGCTGAAGGTACAGCAACCAGCCCTGGTCAACAGAAGAGACTTTGTCCTTTTACATGACAACGCCAGGTCATACTGTTATACCCTGAAATATTTTCTCTCATAGTCTTAGTCTTAGTCTTATCTGTATTCACAACTAGTCACCAACTTTCACCATTACTGACAGTGAACTCTTCACCTTCCAACTCTTCTCTCAACTCTCCTACACAGTCATGACTCAAAGATCATCTTCCTCAAATCCTTAAATAGCCCTACTTTTCCATCCTCGAGTCATTCTCTGTATTGTCATCCACACGCCACGTTCCGTCAGTTTTAATAAAGTTTCTTTTCTGCGTAACGTCGATCTTTAATTACTCCGATTTAAGTGTTACCTCAATACCTGCCCTCAGTTTCGAGAAATTGAGGCAAAATCCGGGATCACAATACGTAGCAAACACAACTGTACAAAAATGACACCAGCTGGGTATTGAAGTTCTACCTCATCCTCCATAATTCCCTGATTTATCTCCAACCGATTTTCACGTTTTCCGCTCACTTGCCAATTTCCTCGCATGAAAACGATTTAGGAAACAGGAGGATATCGAAAACGCCTTTCAGCAGTTACTTTTTCTAAGACGTTCGAATTTTTATATCGGGTAGGAATTAATACTTTTACAATACGTTGGAAAAAGTGTATCGAACATTATGAAAATTATTTTAAATATTATTTTATGTTTTTCAGGATGACCTAATAATAGTATAATTAATATATCTACATGAAATCCGTTGTAACATTGAAAAGACTGTGCCGATGATTTAATACAACTTTCATAAAAATTGCTGACGATATTTCAGTTATTTAAAATAATATAAAAAAATTTGTTAACATGAATTTATCTATTACGAATAAGAATGGCAACGTAAAGAAATAACAAATATTTCGAAAGAATTTGTTTTATAGTAGAATCAAGTTTACTTTGAATTTGTTAGATAACACCGTATGATTTTTTTTTATATAATTACAAGAGACATTAATATACCTACAATACGTAAAACAAGTTCTTGCAGAAATGACATTTAATAAACAGTGTAGAATTTTAAGAAATTGTTGTTCACTTACCGTGTCCAGAATCACCGAACATGATGCTAAATAAGAAAGGGAAGGTGATAATAGTATAAAGGGCTGGGTTAGCTTCACGATAAGATGCCACACCGTACGCGTCGATTAAGTTTTGAAAACCTCTGGTGAACTTGTTCGTTCTATTAAACGTCGGTGGATTCTCGTCTGTGTAGATAACATTGAGGAAAGATGGTATCGAACTACCGCAAAGACGCTAAAAAAAAAAGTAGAATATCAACGAAACTTTGATCACAGACGAGCAAATGCTTTTAGAAAAGAGAATATCGAAAGGAAAAGAACGAGAAAACATTTGTCCAGCCGGTAGTATCTATCGATACTCGAGCAATTTCTCGTTAAACAATACAGTAAATTCTCTACAAGAGTCAATAAGTTTGGATTCTACAAGTGACAGTATAGATGGTCCTACGCCTAGGTCTGCGTCATTGCTGCGCCCATGTTATCTTGCTCGCAGTCAGTCAAGCGTGTAACGCTACACCAGTCGGTTTCCTTTACGAATTTGTTTTAACATGTTGGTGAGATTTTTCTGATGAAAATGACATCAAACACGATGTAATTTGAACAACATTTACTTATTAACACGTTCACTGTCGCGCAGGTTGCTGTCAGGCGGCCACAAGAAAATACATTTTAAGCATAGGATTATAGTATTATGCTTTATAATTTTTTTTTTCAATTGAAAATAATGTTTAGCTAGCTATGACGTTCAAAATTTTTAGTTGACAACATTTATTTTATTTTAATTATTCTAAACATTTGAGGCACTCACTGATGACCACCATGG